GGATCTTTATTTTGCTTTAAGACACTTTGACATTTAGTAGTCTCCCATTATATATGGTTTGAGATTTCTGGCAACTTTACTTATTCAGTCACTGCAGTATGACATATATTAATATCTGTCTTGACTCGAGAAAACCACATTCACATATTTTATTACAGAATGTTTTATATAATTGTTCCTATTTATTATTATTAGTTATTGTATATCTTTTACTGCATTTCAATTTATAGAATTAACATTATCTTAAGTATGTATGTAAGTAAGAAAAATGACGATAGAAAATATGTACATATGTGAAATACATCTGTGTATGTAATGTGAGTGTACACACACACACACACACACAAGACACCACACACACACCCCCCGCCAAGGTATCAAGGCAAGACTAGGAGTCTTAGTTATGGTGTCTCCTGAGGAATGGTGGGAGACACAGCATTGTTTTATATAACAAAACAAATATGAGAAAAAAGCAACAGAAACACTAAAACCTTAAATTTCACAGAAGAAGGCCTAAGAATTAAATTTAAGTGACCTGCCCATGGCAATACAGTTATACAGTTTCAATTAAAAAAAAAAAAAAAACCCTCTAGAACCATAATCAATGTATCTATTCTTAGCGTGATCCTGATCTTAAAAATGTTCTACTATCTTTTCAATGTTCAATTTAAAGACTGTACTGTAGTCTCGCTACTTAAAGAGTTAGACTGAATTATACTTGGAAGCTGCTGGTCAAAAAAGTCTAAGTAATAATCTAAAAATTCAGTATTTTATTTGCCTATGAAAATAATAGTAGCAGAAACTTATTAGGATATAATATATCCATGATTAAGATGTTAAAGATAAAGATAGTATTTTATAAGGTACTTAAAAGATTACGTCACAATAAATTACACACAAAAAAATTTTCATTTCAAAAACACTACCTTTTATAGTTAAGCCTAAATTTCATAAATACAGCATAGTAACAACTTGTAACTTTCCTTTGAATTTTCACATACTGAATAATTTTAATTTTAGCAGGTTAAAGTAAAGAACACTGACTAAACCACAATTACCAGAATTGTACCATTTATCAAAGAAGAAAGTCTAAAAAATAATCACTGCCTCAATGGAGAATACACTGACTACTCATCATTACTCAATGGTTTGAGAGAAATTAAAATTTTCTTTCAAAGTTTGAACTTTTTATAAATTTAGAATGTCTTATACAAAAAAAGTGTATATTAAACATTCCCATGAGCAGAGCCATAGTGGTACACATCTGTAATCCCTCACCAGGGCCACTTGAGTAGGATTATCAAGTTTCAAGGCCAACCTGAGCAATACAGTAAGACCCTGTCTCAAAAAAACCTAAACTAAGGTAAAATAAGTCAATGGCCTGAGCACAATGGTATCTTCCTATAAGTCCAAGCAAACTTATGAAGCTGAGGGAGAGAGAATCAAGGTGGAGGCTAGCTGGAGCTAAGTAGCAAGTCCAGTCCATCCTGAAGCTATGTAACAAGGACCTTGTCTCAAACAAAACAAAAAGTGATAAAATATAATGTATAGCAATTTAGAAATCCAATATGATATTGCATAAAATTCAACACTTCATTTAGACCAGGCCTGAAATTATGATTGTTACCTTTTTAAAAGATACCCCCTGTTCTAAGGGAGTAAGTTGTGTTGGCTGCAGCAGCTGCAGCTGTAAGCTGTGCTGTGAGAGCCTGCAACTGAACCACAAGACCACGCATCCAAGGCCTGCAGGATGGAAAGGCTGAGGCTTCTGCTGCTGTTATCTGTAAGTCTGTTATTAACTGCTGGAGCTGGAGGGGAAACGATTATTACAAAACAGGTGTTGAAACCCAGTCGTCTATTAAGAGTGCCATAACTAAAAAATTTAATCAATCAAATTAATCATTCTAGCCTTTGATGATTAAAAAAAAATCTTTTCAATGTAAGGCATGAGCTTAATAGGTTTGTCCTGCTTTGGCCAATTCAAACAAACTTAAACAAAGCAGTTCATATGATAATAACCAGATAAAGAACTCGCAGCTGACTGATTATTTTTAAGTTTCTCATCCTTTCTTCGATTAACTCCATAAAGGAATGAGCACTAACAACAGAAGCAGCTTTGCTTATCAATCAGATTTATAGTCAGAGAACACATTTTCTGAGAGCAAAAGGACAATTTAAGAAATTGTTCATTGGAGCAGAGTCTGACACTAAGGAAATGAGTTATACATCATGAATAGTGTCAACCAAAGCTGAAACAAGTTGAAGCAATTGATGTTTCCATAATATCTTCCCATCATTGTTAACAAACATACAACTGTAATATCTTTAAGATTCTGTAAATAAGAAAGTCACACACACACACACACACACCTCCTAGAAGTAACTGATAATCAAGTTCTAAACCTCTTAACAGATACACAGGTGCAACTGGAATAGGAAGAATAACTTCTAATGTTCTACAGCACAGTAGGCAACAATATAACAGAGTACTTCAAAAAACAAACTGAAAGAGGATTTAAATGTTCCCAATGGAAAAAGAATGGTAAGTGTCTGAGTGATAAGATATCCCGATTACCCTGATTTGATCATGACACATTAAATACACGTACTAAAAATGTCACACAACACCCTACAAATATGCACAATTACTATGTCAATTAAAATTAAAATTAAAAAAGTAATTTTTAATGATTAAAAACCTGTTAAATCTAAACATTGTCAGTTTACATTAGAAAACTTAAAAAAGCAGAGCAAAAAGGTAAGCCAGAATATCTATCTGTACTTTCTAAGTTCAATTTCTAATATAAAAAGAAGGCACAAATACACATGAAAGGTGACAATTAAAAGAAATAATAACAATGGCAACTGGTATGGTGGCTCACACCCAGAACTGTAGCTACTTGGAGGTGGAAAATGGGAAAGACTGCAGTTCAAAGCCAGCTCAGGCAAAAGTTGAATATTTATTACTAAAGTCCATTTGGGAAAGTTTAACTGAACTAAATTAACTTGTTTTTAAAAAAAAGAAATGAAGTAGAAAAAATTATTTAAAAAAAATCCAAAATACACCAAGCCCTGGAGGGGTTTTTTTTTAAACTAAGATCATGCACAGGCAGAAATTTATTCAAGTTGTTACAACTGTTTAATGTAAAAAGGAGAAGCATTTCTAAACTGATCTCTCAAACCAATAAATAACCCTAATTTAGGTGGGGGAATAAATGGTAAAAACTAGGGCTCTGTCTCACTTAGTAGAGTTGCAAAAACAGTTGTAAATTATTTTACATTTCCAACCAAAAAAAAGAATTTTGAATATTTAAATGCACTGCCTCAGAGATGGTGGATGTACATGTGTTTAGGATTCAGTGCTAAACATGAGAAAGTCAGTAATATAACTCATGTACACTGTCTAGAAAAGAAAGAAAATATTATCTTTACTGATAAAATTTTAAATCAAAAACCTAATAAAAATACTATCATATAGGAAAAGCAGACTATTGGAATAAAGAATACACATTTCTATACAAAACCAACTTTTATCCTGTCAGTGGGAAACAGAAGAGGCATTTCTACTAAGTCTGAAAAAAAGGTAAGAGTGAACGCTATCATTACATGTGTTATAATCTCTTCTGAAAACTTATAGCTAGTACAATGAAATAAGAAAAATGTATAGGCTGCAGGTACTTAAAAATTGAGGATACAGAAATTACCACTAGATGAAAACACATGATTTAACTGGAAAATGAAAGAAAAACAATTTGAAAACTAAGAGAAATTAGACTGCCATTGGCTACAAAACCAAATCTATTCACGCATTCATAGAAATAAGTCTAAGAAATGTGAAGCAAACTACATTTAAAAAGGTACAAAGTTTAACTGAGCTATAAAGATTTGAGCAATAGAAATACATAAAAACAACAAACAATAAATTTAATAATATGAAGACATCAATGTTTCCCAGCTCTCAAGATGATTAATACCTGTAGCATAACTGACTTCCCTCTAACCCTGATGTTGAAGCAAAAGCAGCTGGCTCTCTATTGATACAATGTACGACAATGCTTGCCCACCTGGGACATCAGTGTGGTTCTTCTGCTTCCTGTCACCCTATCCAGCTATGCTAGTTCCATTCAAGTCTCAATTCAAATGTCACTTCCTAAAAAGACATTTCAACACATCCTTCCAATTCTGACTCCTTCCCCCAAACTTGTCATTCCATACATTTACCCATTTCTACAATACCCGTCACTATTTAAAGTAGTGGTCATTTTTAAAATTGTCTGTCTTCCTAAGATTACTGAAGTAGAAATAGCACCTAACAATGTTTGGCACAAACTATGTTACAGTATTTTGGTACAGAATAAATTTTATGAAACAATCTTCAATGATACTAAGTATTCATGATGAATGAATTACTGAATCAAAAAAGGAAGTTACAGACTTTTCAAGATTAAGAAAAATGCATACTCTCTAGGTGGTATGTTACAAAATAATACATGAGAAAACAATGAATTCTAATCATTCTTAATGTAACAAAAAAGTTGCTCACTTGTTGGCCTTGAGGACTTTGTAAGATCTGAGCGACAGCTGCAAGTGTATCTGTATTTGTTATCTGTGATACCCACGGATCAGGCAGGCTTGGACCACAATTGGCTGGATAACAGGTGTCACAGGTGTTCCTTTAAAGATGACCCCAAAAAAATATGTAAGCAAATAAATAAGACTTAAAAAGGTAGAGGGATTTGTTCTATTACTTTTTAAAATATACACAATATAAATGTTTTTATTTATTATGTCCATTTTGAAAAACCATTTAAAATCTTTCACCAAATTAGGTAGGCTTAAAAAACAAAACCAAGAAATCTCCTGAAAAACTCCAAAGGGACCTGTCCATACTTGTTCTTAATAACTAAGCTACATATGTAGTGAAGCCTTCAATACTAAGCAGGTATTAAAACCTTACTAGAGAAAAAAATATTTAACATGAGGAATAATACAAATTTTAATGGAAAAATAAGACAGTATACATTAATAAACCATTTTTGTTCAAAAACCCTGTTTATGTATTTGTGTACATATATATGCATGACAAAAAAAACTAAAGATGTTCCAAAATGTTAACAAATTTAATTCTTGGGACTGTAACAAGTTTAAGTCTCACACTTAAATGTCTAAGAAAAGATGATTTTTGAGATTACTACTAAAGCATTTTTGGTTTTACTAAACAAGTTTTTCAGAATTCTTTGTAAATATTAAATTCCACTAATTTTCTATAAATCTCAAGTTGACTCATTCAAATGTAAACGGTTACAGATAGTCTAATTCATAAAAGTCCAAATTGACACACATTTTCCAAAGTTCATTACAGTTATGTTTTGGGGGACTAAAAGAAAAATTTTAAATGCTAGGTTTTAGAAGGAATTACATGTAAATATAGTATCTGATTTTATTTTTCTTTCAAATCAAATTCTCCTATACTGTCAGATTGTTATTTTACACATGAATAACCCTGTGAAAATATGAGTTAACTATTCAGACACCAAGGCTATATTGTGGCAACATACCTGGAGTATTGCTCATAGCAGTAGTAGTACTGGCTAAAACAGGTGTGACAACTGGAGGAGGAATCCCCGCTGCCATATCCAAAAGAGGTTGAATAATCTCACTTTTAAATACATTATTCTTCTGCCATAAGTTTAATACTCTCACTATTTTACTCTAGAAGAAAGAAAAATGACATTTTGATTTTTGGTTTTCAAACCTTAGCAAACAGTCATTTCAAAAGGCTATTAGGGCACTGGATGAAAATTAGTATTAAAATAGTTTTATTGGTACTTTCCATCCCTGAAGCTGTTTTTCTACCCATTTTGCATTTACTCACTTGAAAAAAAAAAGTTAATTCTGACAGATAAATAAGATAAATGAAGGCACCATTTAGCTGGAGGCAGGGATGACAGGTAGGATCCATCTTCTATGTAGGTCAATTGCAATGACCTGGTTGCCTACAGATCTTAAGGATTCTAAGACAGAGTCAGGATTTAATTTCAGCATTAAAGTTACATGTAAAGTTGAACTTTACTTTGTCTCATACAATGCTTAGCCTCTGAACAAGTAAGTAACTGCAGGACAAAGTCTCATCTAATCTGACTCTTAAAATGTTATTTTACCAAGTATTTAAAGATAGGAGAAGCCATTTCCTGGCATGCGTATTTAATTAGGGCTGGGGATAGAGCTCAGTGGTACAGCACGTACAGCATGCATGAAACACTGGGAACTGATCTTCGAAGGGAAAGAGGAAAAAGGAGGGAGGGGAAAAATGACAAGTCAATTCCTTCCTTCTAAGCACCTTGCCGTAAAATGTGACTTTCCTACTAACACTTTAAACCACAGATGGACAAAACTTCTATATGAACAGAATATGAAATGTACTCCCACCCCCTCCCCCCCAACCCACATTTTTTTGGCAGTGCTGGGATTTCAACCTTGCTAGGCAGGAGTACTAATGCTTGAGCTATACCTCCAGTCCTTTTTCTTGTGTTTATTTTGGAGATAGGATCTTGCTTTTTTTTGGCCTAGAAGTACAACCCTCCTGATCTTAGCCTCCCAAGTAGCTAGGATTGCAACTTGAGCCACTGGTGCCCAGCTCTCTTGGTGTTTTTTGTATTATTCGTCTTTCCTACTCTCTCCCTCTCTATTGTAGAATGTCAATACCATACTGGCATTAATTAATCTGGTTCTCAGAATAACATGTTCTATATAAATAATGCTCTGCATTGTTTCATTTCTTATAGTAATGAAGTCCTTTTACCATACTGTAAAGAATAAACAAAATCTGAGGCATCTCAATTGTTTTTCTCTTCCCGATCAGCCCTTTAACTCCAGTACTCCATTCAATTTTCTTTTCTTCCTAAAGCTGACCACCTCAGTCCACATCAATTACCACCATATAAATCATGTTTTTAAAGTTCACCCTTTTCTGGGTTACTTAAGTATTTAGAATACTTAATATTTTTGGTAAGGTTCTAATCAGTCATACAACATTTATTTAAATCTATAAAATTTGTGAAAATATGCTACCTATATATAGGCCTCTCATTAAGTCTTAAGTCAACTATGTCAGTAAATTTAGAGTAAAAAAAAAAAACCTTTATAAATGAGACTATGTACTAAAAGGCTTCTCGTGTTCTTTTCTCAATTTCAAACTGCATCAAACTCTTTTGAAAGTTTTAACTATTCCCAAATTCTAAACATCCTGGAATAGAGCTATGTCTTCTTTATTACTTATAGTTCTTCCTGTACTAACAATATAAAACACCACAATTTTATTATTTATACCCTACTCTTTCTTCAAAAAATATTTCATAATTGTCAAATTCTACATAACTGTATTGTTGCTTAACTTTTCTTCTGTATTTCATGTATCATAAACTGAAAGACTGGATAATTCTGAACTTGTTACCCAGGAAAATTTTCTATTTAAATGTCTTCCTTCCTTGTGTGAAAGTTTTACAGATCCTTCAGCTTTCAAACTCCAAATTTGGGGTGGGGGCAGGGGGGAGAAATGAACCAAGCCTTGTATGCACATATGAATAATAAAAGAAAAATGAAAAAAAAAAAAAACCTCCAAATTTATAGGCAGAAAAATATACCCAACATAGCAGAATGTCTCAAAAAGAAGTATTAATTGAATTATCACACCTTGTCTCTTGAAATACAAATATTTCACTCAAGAGTATACTTTTAAGTCAGAATAACACAACTCTGTCACTGGTAAAAAGCACTATGGTTTTAAATAATTATTATCTCCTAGATATCAGCACTGAACAATTAAATTCACAAGTATTTAGCACTCAAAAGTTCTGTAAACAAGAACTAAGTACTAGTTACTACTATTGGAGGCTACTTAATACATTAGGAAAACATTAACGAGTCTGTTTATTTTAAAAAGCACTGGTTTAAACATTCTATAGTAGTAAAATAGCAATTTTCAAAATAAAAATCTGGTTCATTTTTAAATCCCTCAGTATTATATAGCTTGTATTTTTAAATTATATCTAGTTACATTAATATATATTTAATTTTTGTATTTCTAATGGAAAGATAAGATAATTACACAAAACAAATGCTTCCTACCTTCTGATTTACTATGTCTCCTCTGTAACATGTGGACACTTAAGGAAGTGCCTTATGTTCTTTTGTCTCATAATCTTTTGGTTTCTAAGCCAGTCATGCCTTTCAAAATAAGCATTGCCTATCAGCTATCATTCACCATATCAACATACAAAGTAATGCCCCCCATTTATTATTGAGATTAATGTGTTAGTATAATCTTTTTCCTATTTTAAAAAAAAAGCCTTATTCTATAAGCACTATTATAAGTGAGATATATTGCATTATGAAATCTACAAATTTAAAACTGATTTGTTTCACTGTAACTGATAGAAATTCAAGCCCAAATGAATGTAATTTCTAAATCAAGTCTTGGTTACTTAAAAAAGCTTACATACAATTTCAAATTAATAAATATTTCACATGGCATTCTAAGGTTATTTATTTTAAGAATCAATATAAGGTAGGTCACTTAAAATTAGGAACCTTTTTTAAAGTGCAACAAAGTACCAAAAGTCATTAAAAACAAGAAGGCAACAACTGTCAAGAAATATATCCAACAGCTCACAAAGAATACAGTATAATAAACTTAACCCCATATCTACCAACAATAAGATATTTTTTTCTGATTCAAGACTATGTAATAGTTACTAAGAATAAAACCACCCAATTGCGTTAACACTTAAAACGAGTGGAAAGTCTTGTGTGGAGCTTTCAGGCTTTATGGCTCTTCCTTAAAACAACCATTAATCCTTACCATTCTTACCTTTCCCTACTTAACCCTGCATTCAACCTGGTCAAAAAAGCACATGGAAAATTTCCAAATCAACATCCAAATAACCTTCTGGTATCGCAGGCAGGTAAAAGAATAATCAACTCCTTCTTATCCTGCCTCTGGATCCAAAGTTTTCTTTTCAGTCGGTAATTAGATTATTTACATATTCAGATTTAGCAGACCTAGTTGTATGGATTTTTAACACTTTGATAATTTTATTAAAATTATATCGTAAAAAAAACTGGTATGTAATTATTTTATATATTAATTGCTTGCCAAATCCATTTGTCACGAACAGTGGATGGGTAAATATCAACTCAAGTAATCACAATCATGAATTAGTTGTATCTGTGAATAAACGTTATCTAGTCTAATTCCAAAAGACTATTTGCAGCCAATTTAACAGTTGCTTCAATAAGTTAAAAAATAGCAAAATCAACTATATCTTTCCACTTTTTAGAAATTCTGAGAAGAAACAAGGAATATGGATATTGCAAGAATTAAATATTCACATTCAGAATACATAAATGATAACAAAAGGCCATATATTAAGATATATAAAGACTCTAATTAAGAACAAGAGCGTAATGTATCTCCTTAAACAAAATAGTTTACCTTGTCATCCCCAGGGCAACGATATAAATTCTGGAAAGTGCTAATGATGTTATTACTAAATCTGGGTGCAAAACATCCTTTTTCTTGACCAAACTGATGTCGAGACTGTCAGCAATGGAGTCAATAACATAAAGTCCAGGCACCTTATATTCCTGGTTTAGCACTGACAAGAAAAAGAAGAGTGGGAAGGAAAGGACACAGAAAGGTAAAATTCTTGATAGACAAAATCATCATAAATACGATACAAATACAAAAAACACTACTCATGCTGTAATGAATATTCACACATTGCCTATTCTATACCATCTGTCTCTGGAATGGCATTTTAAAGAATCTACTCTGGCTACACATTGAGTTTCAACTGCCAGTCACCCAAGGTTCCAAAACAGTACTTGGAATACCTGGCTTCAATGACAAAAAAACAAAAACAAAACAAAACAAAAAAACTGATAAAGATATTATTACAATGTTAAAAACTGCTGCTTATGATTTTGAAAGTTACATGGAGAGAAGGACGCTAATTCAGGAAAGAAGGACTCTAGAAATGCATTGCCATCATGCATGAGACTTCATTTGAAACCAAAACAAAATGCTTTCCATACTGATGAATGAACAAATACCAAATGACAAATTATAACAATCAAATACATTGAGCACAAAATTTCAAACTGTTCTCAAATAATACAGCTGTAAGAGAGATAAGACACTACCATCACAGAACTTCTGAGAAACACTGGGAACACTGAAACATGAAAACACTTTTCAGCTACTCCTTGGTCAGTGTTTCTCAACCACCTTATCTACTACTCATTTGTGAACTACAAAAGTCCCCTACTTTCTTACCACAGGCTTTTTCTAGAGTACGTAGTTAGGGAAGCACAATCAAAATTCCTTTTACTGTCAAGCTGATGGCTCCTATTTTGCCTCCCAACCAGAAACATAAGAAAATTTGCTTCTAAAGCATGTTCGATCACAATAAAATTACAGTGCAAGAGGTTCTGCTTTTAAGTGTAAATTAGGCTAAATATTTCACTCAAAAGTTATTTTTCTGAATATTGTATATCACGCAAAAGTGTATTCCTAAGCAACTCTTTTTAGAAACCCAAGTATCAGCAATAAAAGAATCTTAACACACACAAGTTTCTAAATGAAATTTTCAGTGAAGACAATGATTCTATTTCTGCAAAAAAGACTAGATAGCACTTAATT